TTTTCTAAAAATGCTTCCATCAGTCATGGGGGATCACATAGCAGCCATTTTAGCAGCTCTGGAGGCCATGGTGGTTGGAAGAAAAGTGGTCTGCTAAGCATCAATGAGAAAGAAACCATGCAATTTTTGAATGAAAGACTATCTACCTACCTAGATAAAGTGACCTCTCTTGAACAGGAAAATGCCCAGCTGGAGAGGAAGATATGTGAGTGGTATGCAAACAATGCACCCAGCTCATTACCCGACTCAAGCCAGTATCTCAGGATAATTTCTGATCTCCAGAATCAGGTAAGAACATATTAATTATTTCAACTTTAAAAGAGTTCCATTGTAGAAAATAAATTATACTAGGTGATCAAAGTTCCATGTATGCAATGAGTTTTTGCGACTATATAGATTACCTGCAAGACTTAATGTAAAAATAGTCAATGTTCATTTATGCTTGCATATTTTACAATATGTATCATATGTTACCTTGAAAAATAATAAAATATTAAAGTTCTGTAGAATAATAAATGCTTTGAGTTCTACAGTAAGATATGTCTTCTAGATCTCAAGTGCCACCATGGATAACGCCAGGATTCTTCTCCAAATAGACAATGCCAGACTGGCTGCCGATGACTTCAAGAACAAGTAAGTATAATAACATACCATAAGACCAATTCATCACCTGTTGGCAATGCATAGTTATTTTTCCATTTTCAGCTCCATGTTAAAACCTGAATGGCATCAAATAGTATCTTGTATCTTTGTAATGTATTTCTGTAGGTTTGAAATGGAACGTCAGCTAAGTAATGGCACTGAGTCAGATGCCAATTGCTTGCGCAGAGTACTGGAAGGACTGAATCGGGAGAGATGTGAACTAGAAATGGAAGTTCAGAACCTTCAGGAAGAACTTCAGCAGATGAAGAGAAACCATGAGGAGGTAGTGTACAGAAAGAGGTTCTGCTTTAGACTAAAAATATGACAGTCTTTTGTCACACTAACACTGCAAGTTCCCATATTTGAAGCTTCCATTTGAGTCAAGGAATGTATTTCTTCTTTTTGGTGGAAGGGTTAGCTAATTTATAGTAAGGATGTTTCAAACAATCCACCTGCACTCATTTTAACCCAATCTACTATACTCAACCCCATGCAGGAGGTGAACTGTCTCCGTGCACAGCTGGGAGCCAGAGTCAATGTTGAGTTAAATGCTGCCCCATCAATCGATCTGAACAGGGCATTGTCAGAAATTCGAGACCAGTATGAAAATCTAATGCAAAATAACCTGAGAGAAACTGAAAACATGTTCATTCAGAGGGTATGTATACTTATTATTACTATTCAAAAATGTTTTATATGTTTCAGCAAATTATATAATATCTGAAAGTTATTTTACCTTGGAGACCTTCTGTTTCTGTGCTTTATTTAGTAGTTTGAGTGTGGGTCTTAGAAGCCTACCCTACATTTCTATTAGTACTGTCCTATCAATACTCATTAAATGTTCTACTGGACACATGTCTGATAAGAAGAAGACCAATTATGAAGACAAGTGTTTTATGAAAATCCTTGTGTTATCTATTTGACATGAATGCCTGTTCTGGTCAAGATGTGGACCTTGAGAGAGTGGTGGAAAGTGATTGGATCAATGTGGTCATTGCAATAATTTATAGGTCCTTGTGTAATAATAGTGAGGGGTGGTAAGACAATTATAGTGTAAAATCAATCTCCCTTTACAATGTGGTCAGCGGCTTCTTATAGCAGCACATGATCAAGACAAGATTCTGGTTGATAACAATGGTCTACAATTATCTGATGTTACTGATGAATTTAACAGAATGTATGTTTAACACTATTTGCATGCTGAATGTTTATTGTTCTTACAGAGTGAAGAACTGAACCGGCAGATTGGGTCTGGGGCCGAGCAGCTGCAATCTGTACAAACGGAGGTCATTGAACTGAAGCGTACCCTGCAGACCCTGGAGATTGAGCTACAGAGTCAGCTGAGCATGGTATGTTTACCCATAACTAATGTTATCAATATTTCAAAGTTCGCATGGGATACAATTATTATAGCGTGATAGGAAAAATTAAGATCTATTGTCAAACACCTATGAAAATATAATTTATGCTTCTTTAAAGACATCAGCTCTGGAATGCACCTTGGCAGAGACACAAGGAACCTATGGATCTCAGATTGCCCAGTTGCAAAGTATGATCGACAGTGTAGAATCTAAATTGGCTCAAGTCCGATCTGACCTGGAGCGACAGAACCATGAGTACAAGATCCTCATGGACCAGAAAACCCATCTGGAAATGGAAATTGCAACCTACAAGCGCCTTCTTGAAGGCCATGACATTCAGTAAGTACACTAATTGTACCTCCATAATGGCAAAGGCCTCAGTGAGTGAAGTTGTCTCTTTTTTTTTACAGTAATATTGTAGAAAATAGAGAGTGCCTATTGTAGAATTATTAGAAATTATTACTTTATTGTTGTTGTATAAAAGTATTTAAAAACAGCAACACCAACCACACACGAATAACTATTTTATTTTCTTTGTCCTAGGGTTTCAGGAAATCACAATACAGGTGGAAAACATGGTAAGTAATAAAATACTGTTATAAATATATGTAATATGACTATAGCTGAATTGACAAATTGTCCCAAATAAGTTATTTGGTCCCAAAGTTTGAAATGGATTTGAATTCTTAACAAGTGCATATTTTCTGAATAAATCCCTCTAATTGATAATAAAATCTGCAATATACTACAGCTAACACTTTTTCTAACTTGAAAATCAAAGCACAGTTACTCAAAGAAAAGATAATTATTGGAGCAGATATTCAGACATCGAGGACAAATATTTCCAGATTACTTTTTAACACTCTATTTATATATGACTGGTTATTTAAGAGGATGGGAAATGGTTTTCTGCTAAGTACGTTTTGTACAAACCACTTGTGCGTCTAAATATATTGCTCCGATATTACATTGTGTGTAGAGTAACAGTTTCTTTTAAATATGTTAAAAAGCATATTAGCAGGCATGCTGTACATCATGTGTGCTGAAAAGGTAGATCCCCTGATGTTGTAGAACTACAACTCCCATGATGCTTTGCATGCCTTTAGAATGACAAACTATCATGGAAGCTGTAGTTTTAAAGCATCTGGGGATGTAAGAAACCCTCTTTGATTTTTTTTCCCCCCAACTCAGTAAGTTGATTCTCGAGTCAAAAGACCTTACTACCAAATAAATGCCTCTTAGAAAGTTTTTGGGGAGCTAACATGTTATTTCAAGGGATGTTCCAGGCATTTAAAGTCACTTTTATTTTTTTTAAGTTCATGATAAAAATATTTACTTGCGTTCAATATGCCTTCCAGTCTGCATCCTCAGGTTCTGGTTAAATACATTTAAGAGGGAAGTGAGGGAAACTGATCTGAAATATTATCGCTACCATTATCACTTTAACAATACCCTGTCTGCAGACCTATGTGATATTATAGGATTACATAAAAGACTAGAGCAGGGGTCGGCAACTGTCGGCACTCCAGATTTTGTTGACTACATATCCCATAATGCTTTGACAGCTATGGTTCTGGGAGAACACCAGGGGTGATGTAGTCCATGACATCTGGAGTGCCAAAGGTTGCCTACGTTACTCAGCTTAAAACATTAGTAGGGTTATTTACTAAAATGAGAAATGTTGGGAGAAATGTTCAAAGTGAATTGAAAGTGAATTTAAAATTTAAGGCCTCAATAGATGAAGTAGAAGCACAGCTGACTTGAAGAATGTTTCCAGTTCCGGCTCCTTACATTGGAAATTCACGTTAAATTCCCAACAAATCTCACTTTTATTTCAAATCACTGTCAGGGTTATCTTCTAAATTTAAAATTCAAAGTGAATTCAAAGTGAATTTCACATTAAAGTTCAAACTGATAATATAGTCAACAAATTTGAAATTCACTTTTAATTAACCTTGAATTATCACTTTCATAAATAGCCCTGTGAGTAACTCTGCTTAAAAGAACACTATAGGGTCAGAAACAAACATGTATTTCTGACCCTATAGTGATTGTAGCCATATTAGTCCAGTGATGCAGATGTAAAATCTGACCCTGTAGTGTTAAAAACACCATTTAGCTCCCCCCTTTACCCCCTGGCTCCAGTTTCTCCCCTAAATATAGTAAACTGTTACCTTTATTCCAGTCTGCTGCTGCTGGCTCTGCCTCTGATCTGCCTGCTTGGCTAACATCATCAGAAGTGTTGTTCAAAGCTAATCGCAATGCTTTCCAAGGAAAGCACTGGATTGGCTGAGAGTGTCAAGGAGGCCGATCAGGGGGTAGAACCAGCACAAGCCAAACACAGCCCTGGCCAATCAGCATCTCCTCATAGAAATTCACTGAATGAGGTAAGTTCAGTTTATCAATGCACTGTATGCCCCCAGGAAGCAGCTCTAGTAGCCATATGAAGAGTGGCCAGTGGAGGTATCCCTAGGCTGTAATGTAAACACTGCATTTTACTGCAAAAAGCCTGAATGGAATGATTCTGCTCACCAGAACAAATACAATAAGCTGTGGTTGTTATAGTCACTTTAGTGTCCCTTTAATAATATAACAATGTCTTTACTTTCAAGGATCTCACATTACAATGGCTCACAGCACTGAACATGATAACAAGTGTTAAAACAGAGAAACAAAACTATTGGCGAAAATAAAGAAAAAAAGAAGACAAATATTTACTCTACAATCTTCTATATCTTAAATTGGAATGTTCACTGCTTTATCTATGCTTAAACAAACTATGCTTGCATCTCCTTAAAAACAAAACTTTAAGAAAGATATCACGTAAGTGAATAATTCAATGGTTTGTGGGAACAATATGTACTGTATACTTCACTGAAGTATTCTCATCAATTCCAATCTTTCCGGTACCTTCATGAGATCTTTGTAGATAACACACAAGCTCAGATTCTTTTATATATATATATATATATATATATATATATATATATATATATATATTAGTTTAAAACTATACTTTAATCTAGTGAAACTATCATCAATGTAGTTTCAAATGTGGTTTTAATATAGGTCTGGGTTTTTCGCGAAAAAGTTATGACATTTAATTTTTTCAAACATTTTAAACTAAGGTTTCTTTAAGTTACTGATATATATACGGGAAATAGTGGGTCAGATAAACTTACTATGCTAAGAAAATTCAGCCCAATGAAAATTGAACTTTCTTCAGCTGAGATTAGTATAAAATTAGTACATATATTTAATGAGCACCATATCAAAAAAAATCAGAGGAGGTCCAAATAAACTAGAAGTATATGATTGCATTTGAAGTAACTACGAAATAAATACTAAATATATATTATTATTAACAACACAGGTCTAGATTATTTTAAGAGAGTAACGATTTATTCGGCTACCAAATAACATTTGCTCCATTGACGTCTATGGCAAAATTGTTATGATAATCTAGCCCATAATGTGACATTTCTGAATTCAGATACTTTAAAGAATAGTATCACCAACAACCTCTTAATGTGAAAAACATGGTGATTTTTAAGATGACTTTTTGTTTCATTGACCCGGAAAGGTATTCTACTTCAATATATAAAAGACAGATTTAATTCTATGTGCCTATGTGCCTATATGCATATATTTGCATTGCATGATTTTACCTTTTCACTGTTAAAATTAAAGAAAAAATTCTAAACACATTGTATGCATTAGTATAACAATGTAACATTGTATCCCACTAAATATTACCATTAAGAATTTCAGAATTTGAGATTGACCACAGAATCATTGTGTTCTCATTTTTACGATGTATGGTTCTGTATATCACAGATAAAGATGGATTTGGGACTGTTTTGTCAAGCAACTGCAATTTCTTATTTATTTTATATTTAATCTATTTCTGTACTGCATAGAACATTCTCATAAATGACAAATAAACAAAAAAAATCAAAAACGCTTAATGTGCATTTTTAATATACATTTGCAAGAGTGGAGATATTAGAAAGATTACTAAAGAGCATTGTGTGAATTTTACATGCACTATGCTGATCTTACAGTATCTACACTCTTTGAAATAAGGATAATAGTCATGTTATAATGTTTACTGGTGACTGATCTCAGCTGCAGAGATTTGATGGTAAATGTGAGATCATCTTATTACTAGAATGACGTTCCCAATGTTACTGAAACCAAACATTCTAATATTTCTATTATAAAAAGATTTAAGGGAGAAAGCTATAATAATGATAGTTAACATTATCCAAACATCATTATCCAAACATCTAAACAAAGATGACACAACATCACAACCGTCCATTACTCTATAAAGTTAGGGGTGTTTCAGTTTGTTCATAAAATGATCAACCACTTAAATATCTTAGAAGAGTTGTAACACTTATATTGTCATCAAATTTAGCACATTATCCCAGACATGTATCCACCACTTTTACAGGTTGAAAAAGTTATAGACACATATCTGTCAGTTACCATTATCCCATTTACTATCCTCCTTTAACATAAATGTCTTATTATCACATTGTAACAATATGGCCCAGCCATCTCTGACCCTGATGGTGGACCAGTTCAGGCCTAATATCTCCCGTGGGATTCTTTGCACCAGCTTGTTCTTATCCTACTAGCGAATGCAGCGTCTCTGCTTGCTGATGATTCAGTTGGAAGCGATACAGTCCTGGCGTCTCTGTTACGGAAGGCTTAACTGTTCCGATCTTGTATTGTCTGTGGGAACTTCTATGCTGAGAACTAGGACTCTGGTACTTGAGTTAATAATCCCTTGGCCAAGCAGGATACAACACAAAGTTCCAGTATTACAAAGTATATCCAGGTATTACAGGATATTCTATCTAACTAAAAACTGGTAGCGATTCTCCTATGAGCGATCGCACTATAGCATAATGTAGATAGTTACAACACAGAAAGGCACAAGAAGGCTTCTTCTTGATGTAAAAGTGAATACCAATGAACTGGTTTATTGTATGAGCACACAGCTTTTCTTCATTTACAGACATACCATTTGTTTGCATTATAGAAGGTATGCATGTACAGTATTACAGTGGGGAAATGGTCAGAGCCAGCTCTTGCATCACCATGGGTCTCCTTGACCAACTTACTTTAAGCTTACAATAGGTGGGATGTGACACTGTTGACTCAGCCCCACCTCTTGACTGGACAAAAGGGAAATAGGGCAAAAGAGGACACAGGCATTAAGCACTGTGGCATATATGTGGTGGCAATAGAGGGTTAATAGGTCCAGTTAATACTATAGCAAAAGTTCAGTGTAAGTTCATGACCCTGATCAGGTTGTTGGGAAGAGTGGGGACAAGTAGCTGGGCAGATTAGGTGCCCCAGCTGTTGCTGGGGACAAGAGCTGGCTGAGGATTGGTTGCTGGCAGTGAGCCAGCAAAATAGCAGGAACTCAGTTAAGCATAAAAAGGTGACAGCGCTAGGCAATCCCTTTCAGCTGTTTTTCTACAGGACAGGAGAAGCACCGACGGACCCCCACCCTCCCTCCCTCTATTTGCTAACTTTCTTTGTAAGTAATGTTGTGGTGTTGGAAGCTTGGGGCAAATTCTCAGGTTCAAGTTCTGAGGAAGCATATGTGTTAAATGGTTGTATATAAAAGGCGGTCAGGTTAGCTATGACTGACTGGCAATTAAGTGATGGTGAAAGTGAAAAGTTTTGGAAGTAAAGTGAAAAGTTTATGTGAATATGTTACTGCTATCAAGTATGGTGGTATGCCCCTGTTCAAGCTTATTATTATGCGAATTATTGCCTACCGTACATATAGGCCATTTGTAACACACATGTAAGTCAGACATTACAAATACATATATGGAGGGGGGTTATCAGTATTTTGTGTGCAAAGTGCAATATGCTGATGTTCATCTCTTGATTGCTATGCATTTTATTGGGCAGACTAGATGGGCCGAATGGTTCTTATCTGCCGTCACATTCTATGTTTCTATGTATTTAGCTCTTTGCCAGCATGGAACCCATTGTTGCCTTGATAAATCTTCTACCTGGACTCTTGCTTCCCATGACTATATCTATAAGGATGTATTAGGAATACTGGCTGTTGTCGAAATTAGTTTCAGTCAATGATTTAGAAGCAGGACGGATGCAAGGTGCTGAGGAAGCTTCATGATATGTACAGAAAAAAAAAGTCATATAATTATATTTATGTGCTATAATAATATACATCAGAAACTAAAGGAATTGACATGTGCAGCATAATGCACAACCCCATTTCATCTGGTCACTCTCAGTCTTTTTTAGACAGGTCACAATTTTCAAATAATCCCCCTATATCATCAACGATACGCATAAGAACAGACGGAGGTCATGACCCATTAGAAGGAAACAGAAGGGTAAGATCTACCAGTTTAAGATCCAAACCACCAGTAAGGAAGACATCAATCTGGTACTTCATTTGTCCTCTAAACCTTTGTCTCAGGAACACTATAGAGTATTGTCTAAAGGGTTACTAACAGCTGGCGCTCACAAATTTAACACAGAGGTGCAACTATTAAACATGAAGAGAATTTTGAACTTGAATATTTTAAGAGATTAATGGGAAAACAAAGAAAAACATCCTTTTAATTTGAAAAAGTACCTAAAATGCTAAAACGACACACCTCAACCATTAAAATGTTTGTACAATAGTACGTTTGGATGGTGAACATATCCTTGCAGTTAAGCCTAATCGACATATGAATTTAACAGAAATGGAAAGAACGTCTCTCAAGGATTTGGGCAATGACAACAGTATAACGATCAGACCAGCAGATACTGGGTTAGCTATAATGATACAAGATTACAACAAATACAGAATAAAAATATTACAGTAGCCCTCTGAAACTAATACTTACCAACAAATAACAAGATAATGGAAAAATTACAAGCATCGGTCAAACAAGGCTCAATGGCAGGATTGCTTAATTAATACATGGCAACATTTTTGATAAATGAGAATTCCAATGTTATATACACTACTGAAGAACTACAAAGATCATGTTAACCCCCATGGGAGACTGAAAATAAAAATGTATTATAGGTGACATACCTACATGTTTGAGGGATACAAGACTTTTTGTCCAAAATTAATACTTTAAACTTACCCAACTCTCCTATGATTTTTGCTGCTATAGATGTGAAGTATCTTTTTTTTGTAATTTTTTATTTTTGCATTGCATAAGAATGGTACAGACCGGCTTGAGGTGCCCCAACAGCAATCCTCAGGCATTACATCACGCATTACATGCGGGGTAAATGAATAACATGCACACTTTTATAGTATAAACAGGCATAATAAAGTTGTGACATTAGAGCATTATCATTACAGTAAGCAGGAGTTAAACAGGCTATGCAAATTGACATCAGATAAATATATAATAGCATGAATAAGCCTATGATAAGCAAAACCATCCTGTCTAGTGGAGGGAGGCAAGTGTATGGTGTATCCTCTGAGAAGTTGTGTAGTACAGAGTAGTGATGCACCGAACGGTTCGCCAGCGAATAGTTCCTGGCGAACATAGCATGTTCGCGTTTGCCAAGGCGGGCGAACATATGCGCGGTTCGATCTGCCCCCTATTCGTCATCATTGAGTAAACTTTGACCCTGTACCTCACAGTCAGCAGACACATTCCAGCCAATTAGCAGCACACCCTCCCTAGCAGACCCTCAAACCTACTGGAAGGCATCCATTTTACATTCATTCTCAAGCTGCATGCTTAGTGAGAGGAGGGAAAGTGTAGCTGCTGTTGATTAGATAGGGAAATGCATAGCTAGGTTAGGGTATACAGAGTCCACTACAGTCCTGAAGGACTCATCTGATCTCTGCTGTAAGGACAGCACCCCAAAAAAGCCCTTTTTAGGGCTAGAACATCAGTCTGCTTTTTTTTTTTCTGTGCAATGTAATTGCAGTTGCCTGCCTGCCAGCTTCTGTGTCAGGCTCACAGTGGATACTGTGCCCAGTGCCACCACTCACTCACTGGTGTCACAATAGCTTGCATTTAAAAACAAAAAACTTTTTTCACTGTTATAGATTGAATAGCAGTTGGTTGTCTGCAAGCATCTGTGTGTCAGGCTCACAGTGGATACTGTGCCCAGTGCCACCACTCACTCACTGGTGTCACAATAGCTTGCATTTAAAAACAAAAAACTTTTTTCAGTGTTATAGATTGAATAGCAGTTAGTTGTCTCAAAGCGGGTGTGTCAGGCTCACAGTGGATACTGTGCCCAGTGCCACCACTCACTCACTGGTGTCACAATAGCTTGCATTTAAAACCCAAAAACTTTTTCACTGTTATAGATTGAATAGCAGTTAGTTGTCTGCCAGCGTCTGTGTCAGGCTCACAGTGGATACTGTGCCCAGTGCCACCACTCACTCACTGGTGTCACAATAGCGTGCATTTAAAAACCAAAAAACTATTTTTCACTGTTATAGATTGAATAGCAGTTAGTTGTCTGCCAGCGTCTGCGTCAGGCTCACAGTGGATACTGTGCCCAGTGCCACTACTCACTCACTGGTGTCACAATAGCGTGCATTTAAAAACCCAAAAACTTTTTTCACTGTTATAGATTGAATAGCAGTTAGTTGTCTCAAAGCGGGTGTGTAGGGCTCACAGTGGATACTGTGCCCAGTGCCACCACTCACTCACTGGTGTCACAATAGCGTGCATTTAAAAACCAAAAAACTTTTTTCACTGTTATAGATTGAATAGCAGTTAGTTGTCTGCCAGCATCTGTGTCAGGTTCACAGTGGATACTGTGCCCAGTGCCACCACTCACTCACTGGTGTCACAATAGCGTGCATTTAAAAACCCAAAAACTTTTTTCACTGTTATAGATTGAATAGCAGATAGTTGTCTGCCAGCGTCTGCATCAGGCTCACAGTGGATACTGTGCCCAGTGCCACCACTC